TGATTTAGTCTTCGATATTGTAATTCCTGCATTAGTTGACCACTTAGTGATTCTATCTACCGATTCTTTCATAATACTTTCAGTAACCTTAAGATTTTTACCACTGCATATCAAGGTAATATCATCTGCAAAGAAGGATATTTTCACTGGTTCTTCTATTGTACTGCTAGCGTCATTAATAACTAGCAGGAATAATAGAACACTAAGGACAGATCCTTGTGGTAAACCATTCAACATCTCTGTAAGATGGGACGAACTGTCTAGAATTTTTACTCTGAGGTATCTGTTTTTTAGGAAAATGGATAGTGAATGCCAACATATTTCCTATTATATGTGATTTAGCAAGGGTGGACATGAGTCTATCTTTATAGACCATTTCATATGCTTTTTCAATATCCATTGAAACTAGCATTACATGTTGATTCATAGCTAGGAGTCACATATTATAGTATCGATATTTACCAGGAGGTCATTTGTTGATCTAAAGGAACTGAAGGCACTTTGGTATAGTAAGATTAAGTTACGGCTTTCTAGTATCCATTTCAGGCGGCGACAAACCATCTTCTATAATATCTTGCAGATGTTATTTGTTAGAAAGATTGAACGGTAATTCGTGGGTAGAGTGTGATCTTTATTAGGTTTAGGTATGGGAATAACATTAGCTTCTCTCCATTGGTCCGAAAAGTGTTGTACAGTCCATATATAATTATAAACGCAAAGTAAGTACTTAAGTCCAACTTCAGGAAGGTTCTTCAAAAAACTGTTTGGAACCTTATCGGTCCCAGGTGCAGAATTTTTTCTTAGATCTAATAAATAAAGAAGTTCATCCGTAAGGAAAGGTTTGTTGTCATTATCGTTGTCCCTAGTTAGGAGCAACATTTTATTTTGACTAAAGTTTCTGCTTGTAGATAGAAAGTTTGGGTCAAAATTATTGCTATCTGAATTTTGAGGTAACGTGTTCGCTAAAAGGCTACATACGGCTTGAGTTCCAATATGTTTTAAGCCAGTACTATCAATAAGATATTTAGGAATACTAGGAGTATTTCTTCCACTAATGTCTTTTATTTTATGCCATAACTCTGATATAGGACATTGGTGTGTGATGGAAGAGGTGAACTTTTGCCATGAATTGATCATTGCGGATTTGAGAGTAAGTCTCTTGCTTTCCTGCAAGCAATACCATTTACCATAATTTTGTTTTTCTTAAATTTTCTATATGCTCTTTTTTTATTTTTAATTGCTGTAGTACATTGTTCGTTCCACAATGGAACTTGGCGTTTTTTTAATTACTCCCGAGGTATGGGGAATCGACGTTCCTGCTGCTTCTAGAATTAGTGAAACAAAGTCATGCACTAAACTGTTTAACTCCTCAGAATCTAGGTTGATTGGTTGATTAAGAGTTGCAATATTGGACTTGATAAACTGTTGGAATTGTCCCCATTTAGCTTGTTCTAGAATCCATTTAGGATCACATCTCATATTGGAGAGTAGATCTAAGTCTGAAAGGGTCATGTTAATGGGATAGTGGTCACTATCATATAGGTAGTTGTTGGTAAACCATGTAATTCTAGCTGCAATGTCATTTGAGGCAAAACTAAGATCAATGCTTTCATTTCCATTACTAAAGTTAAAGTGGGTGGCCAGATCTGTATTTAATATGGTAAGATCATTATGATTGTGTAGCCAATCTTCAATGACTTTGCCGCTTTTGTCTGTAATATTAGATCCCCATAATTAGTTGTGACTATTGAAGTCTCTTACAATTATAAAGGGTTTGGGTAACTGAAGGATAATATTATCAAAGTGATGGACATCGAAGTCCTGCCTATTGGGGATATAAATATTACAGACATAGATATGGGAAATGATTTTAACCTTTACAGCTACGTCTTCGAGAGAAGTTTGGAGAGGAATATCATGCACATAAATATCATTTTTAACAAGGATAGCTACACCACCAGAAGCAATTTGAGCATTATTCCGATTACAAAAAGATGTAGTATATCCGGGTAGTTAACCAGAATGATAGTCTTTAAAGTTTGTTTCTTGTAAACATAGTATCTGAGGAAGAATATCTTTAACTACTAGTTTCAGGGATGGTAGACGGGCATAGAATCTATTACAATTCCATTGTAGGATGTTCATTTCTAGTTATTATTCAGATGTATCTGCATCCCAATCATTCATTTGTTCTTGTGCACTCTTAAACTTGTTGATAATACTTGTAAATTTATATTTTATTGACCTTTCTGTAAGTAATGGATAAGATTCAGATTACTATGTGGATAATAGTTGGAATATCAAGTGAAAATTCACTGGCTATTATTGTTGAGTTTGGGGCTCCTGAAGCTTTGTCAATGAAATATTTTAATTAGTTATATGTGAGGGGGTAATCAATTGGATTGGTTTCATACTTTGCCTTTAATGGATCAAGACGTTCATCTAGTGACTTGGGGGTGCTCTTAACATGAATACTAATATGATTTGATTCTTGACCAATTTTCTTTTTCTT